TTACGCTATTATATTTACCCAAATACATGCCAATTTTGTACTCTTCTTTCCTTTCTGATATTGCAAGTTTCCTTCCGGCATCATTTGCCTTCTTTCTGAAGAAGTTCCTTTAGCAATCCTTTTGGATCAGGTCTGACTGCTAAATATTTTCTTAGTTTTTCTAAACCTGCAAATGTCTTGGGGCACCTGGGTGGCTCAGCTGGTTAAGTGTTGAACTTCAGCTCGGGTCATGATCTCACCGTTCATGGATTTGAGCCGCTGGTCCGGCTCTGTGCTGACAGCTCAAAGCCTGGAGCCTGCTTCGGATTCTGTGTCTCCCTCTCTTTCTGCTCCCCCCCCCCCTCTTTCTTAAAATAAGTAAATAGACTTTAAAAAAATCTGAAAATATCTTTATTTCACTTTTATTCTGGAAGGATATTTTTGCTAGTTATAGAAGTGTGGACTCATCTTTCTGTTCTTTCATCACATAAATCACATCACAAAATGTTGACACTTTGTCCTCCATGGTTTCTGATGACAAATGTGGACTCCTTCAAATCGTAGCTCTTCAGGAGGTAATTTGTTGCTTAGTTTTTTAGCTTCTTTCAAGATCTTATTTTCTTTACTTCTCAGTAGTTTGATTAGGATGTGTCTGGTATGGATTTCTTTAAGTTTCGCCTCTTGGGAGTTTGTTGAATTTTCTTGAATATGTGGTTTCTGTCACCAAACTTGGGAAGTTTTAAGCATCGTGGTACTCTTTTCTTGGACTCTGTGACATCAACGCTAGACTTTTCCCTGAGACTCTGTTCTTTTCTTCTTCTTCAATATTTTTTCTCTCTGTTGCTCAGATTGAGTAATTTCTACTACTCGCTCCCCAAGTTCACGTATGCTTTACTCTGCTACCGAGCCCATCCGGTGAATCTTTTAAACCTTATCTCCTGAATTTTTTTTGTTCTGAAATTACCATTTGGTTCTTCAGGTTTCCTATTTCCTTCTTTTTTCTGTTTCAGTCTTCTCATGAATTTCAAGTAGTGTTTGTCTTTACTTTTTGGGTCCTATTCATCATAGCTGCTTTAGAGGCTCTGTCAGAGAATTCCAACATGTCTGTTGCTTGATGACTGCTTGCCTTTCCAGTTAAGATTCCTTGTTTGTTTGATTGTTTGTTTGTATGCTGGGTGCTTTTGAATTGTATCCTGGACTTTGAGTGTTATGCTATGAGGATTTTGGTGTGAAGTGTATGGAGAATTCTGAGATTTTTGTTTCAGCAGGTGACCAACCAGTTTCAACTTAGACCACAAGCTTCAGACTGCTGGTTGTGGTTTTAATGTGAGTTCCATTTCCAGAGCCTTTGCAGTCAGGTTTGGATCTAGTTGCTAGTTGCCTAGCCTGTGTTCAGCTCTCAAGTTCTGTGTATACCGTTTAGGGTTGGATCCATGCATTAAAAAAAAAAAAAAAATGAAACGCTGCACAAATTTGCATGCCATCCTCACACAGGGCCTTGCTAATCTCCGTATAGTTCCCATTTTAGTACGTGTGCAGCCAAAGCGAGCACAAAGATCTCACCGGTACTTTCTGGTTCCCTGGGACAACACTTGCAGTTCTCTGGTCAAAAAATGGGCTTTATTTACTTTGCTCTCTGCGCGTTTCTACAAATGGGCTCATAGCCAGGGTGGACCCCAGGAGGACAAAGACACAAGAAAAGCAGTGGGGAGTTGCCCCATCGTCCTGGTATAACATCACTCTGATCAGAAAGGAAGATTCCCCTTTCTCGGAATGTTAGGCTCCTGCCAGGTTCTGCTGCTGCCATTACCCCTGGCCCTGTTGCAGCAACCAAAGGATCACTTGGGAGCTACGCAAGAGAGCAGAGCAAAGAAAAAATATCGGGGTATTTTCCCTCACGGTCTTCCAGCACGCGGAGTCCTGGGTTACTTAGCTGGAGAGATTCTGCTGTATCTACTTGACTGTCCGTGTAAGCTACTTCTGTGTTTTGGGCTACGTTTAGTCCAGAGTGGAGTAAACAGAGGGGGGAAAAACAACTGGTAAACTCATGGCTAGTTAGGCAGTACTTTGAATTTTGGTCTTGTTCCCCAATCTGTTTGCTACTGTTTACTTTCCATACACCTGAAAGGGCTTTTCCTGCCTCCCACCCCAATTCTATAGCTGCATTCAGCGGGAGGCAGAGAGTGGAGCACCCTTTCTGTGTCTCCCCCAGAACTGGAGCCAATCCTTGCCATGAACGGTAGTGAGACGAAACGATTGTACCACAAACGCGAAGCAAAATATATAGCATGTGCAATAAGCTGGCTGTTTCAAGCCAACACACTGAGTACACAGGAATTCATTTTAGGACTGATAGACCTCAGCTGATCCTTGCCATGATCAATGGCTTTTTACTCAGCGTAGCATCTGGCATTTACTCGTTACCACTGAAAATATTTTCAATCTGGCGATGTGGCAAATGTAGGTTATGTACAATATCATCAGAGGCAAGTCATTGCCTTTTTAATTTTTGTCTTTTAAGCACTAACTTACTGCTGATTAAGACATTTTTTAAAAAACCTAATCAGGGCATTTCTAAGCTTTTACATGCAAAGGCACACTCAGATCTATAGAGTACTGTGATCACTGTTGAAATGGTCAGCAGTTAATGTCTGTCTATTTTTGAGAGAGAGAGAGAGAGAGAGACAGAGAGAGGGAGAGTGAACAAGCTGGGGAGGGGTAGAGAGAGAGACACACATAGACACACACACAGAATCTCAAGCAGGCTCCAGGCTCGGAGATGTCAGCACAGAGCCCGATGCCGGGCTCGAACCCACGAACTGAGAGATCATGACCTGAACCAAAGCCGGACACTCAACCAACTGAGCCACCCACGTGCCCCTAAGTGGTCAGCAGGTAGAACACGTTTTTTGTGTATTAATTACTGACATGTCATCCACAGAGATGAACCAGGCTTATGTACAATACACATTTCTGAAAAATTGTGAATAAAATAAATTTTGAAAGGGGAATTAATTGGAACCCTATAAGGAATAGTTTAGTAAAACAAATCATTGCCTCCCCGATATTTGCTATTACCTGTGTGCTTTTTTAATAAATCAGGTTTATATATTTTTATTTGGACTTCCTTACCCCAGTGTTGAGTTGGCTTCTCTGATTCATAGGTCAGCCTAGGGCAACATGGAGCGTTTGTCTATTGTATGCACATGACTTTCTGGGCTGTATTACGCTTTTAGCAATTGCTGGGCAGCAGAACACTGTGTTTAATTAGTAGATTTTGTGGTTAAGAGATGGTAATCACGTTTGATTAAAAAGGTCGTTTATTTCATTCAAGGCTGAGGGTGCTTTCCTGAGGACAGAAGCCTATGTTTTGGCCTGGAGGACCAAAGAGGTCTTACACCCAAAGTGGCACTCACTTTGCAGATCAGTCATGGATTTCTGAATGACCTTGGAGAAGTCACTTTGCTTCTCTCTTCTCAACTCCAGATTTGCAAAGCCCGATGTTTTCATTAATGACAGGAAAATGTGCACAGTTCTTCTAAATGTTTTTTTTTTAAGTTTATTTATTTATTTTGAGAGAGAGAGAGAGAGAGCAAGCAGGGGAGTGGCAGAGAGACAGAGGGGACAGAGGATCCGAAGCAGGATCTATGCTGACAGTAGAGAGACTGATGCGAGGATCCAACTCACAAACCATGAGATCACGACTTGAGCCGAAGTCAGATGCTCAACCCACTAAGCCACCCAGGCACCCCTTTCTAAATGCTTTTAATAACAAATATATCCTTTAGCTAAATTCTGAGAGGTAGGCAAGTTGTTACTACTGTTCCCTCTTTACAAATTAATAAACCCAGGCTTGGTGACATTAGGAGAATAAAGTTTGCAGAGCATAAGAGCAAGAGAAACTCAAATGCATTTTTTGTGAATCCAAACATTCTTGATCTTTCTTCTACAAGTTCCTATCACTAAGACTTCTATCAGTTAATAAGAGAAATCACAAAGAATTGTTTTCTGTTGAATTCCACCTGGCAAAGGGCAAAGAGGTCTATTTGCTTAACGTAAGGATACGTATTGCTCAGGATTGCAATTGTCAAGTGGAGTTTTCACCACTAACTTGATACATTTAAGTATTTCTTCACGTATAATACTTTGGAGGTTGACCTTATATTATTCCTGGTGTCTGCAGAGAAAGAATGTTGTATCAACGTTGCGTAGGTGATTATTTGCAACCACAGGTGGCACTTACTTTTTGCAAAATGCAGCTCAGGGAGATACAGTTCTGCCCACCTTTTTTAACAGCCTGAATTCATACAGAGTATGTTTGGAGTCATTTGTCATGTTTTGCTCTATTTTGGGCAGATTGGTGCAGGGGCATTAAAAAAAAAAAGCATTCTTGTTAAGTGTCAGATCTTTCTTCTTCCTCTTTCCTTACAAATGAATACTGAAACTACAAATTCCATTTGTCTCTGAGTTACTACGGGTTAAATGGTCGAGGCTTTCACCCGTGGCCCTTTCGGTTGGAATCCTATTTCATTTTATGAGGTTATCACTGCCCTCTGAAATTTTCATCAGCTATGGGTGTGTTCATCCTAACATTTTGTAGGCAGGAGACATGGGTTCTGGCCCGTAGCTGCCCACCAGAACTCGCCCAGGATAATCCTGTAAAAAGCATCGTGTGTGCCTAATTCTTCCCTCCTCAATTTTGTCAGCAAAACATTTTATCTCCCCAAATTATGCAAGTGACTCGAGTCGCAAGGAGGCTGTTCCCTTAGTAATCATGGGCTGGCATCCTGGAAGGAGCACACTCACTCCAGAGATGTGACAAGAGGTCAAATCGTCATAATCAAATCGGTCTTCAAAGTCTGATCCCTATCATCTGATTATAATTTATCCTAAACGGTGTGACTAGAAACTGATGCATGGTTACATAGAGACCATTCCATTAATGACACCTGATTTATACTGCAGGAAAAGAAATTCTCTGAAATCAATAACATTTCCGAATTTGTTTTGTATTTATCCAGGTGATACATATTTGTGTAGAACCCACAATATATCCGGTTCTTCGGGAGCACATGAAGGACTGGCCTGTATTTAAACAATCCATTTATGGGGGCGCCTGGGTGGCTAGGTCAGGTAAGCATCTAACTCTTGATTTCGGCTCAGGTGATGATCTTGCGTTTCGTGGGTTCAAGCCCCACGTTGGGCTCCTTGCTGTCAGCGTGGGGTTTGTTGGGATTCTCTCTCTCTCCCTCCCTCTCTCTCTCTCTCTCTCTCTCTGCCTCTCCCCCAATCTGTGCCTCTCTCTCAAAAATAAATAAAAACTTAAAAAAAACACAACAGCCCATTATGGATCATTCAGTTGGTTCCACCCTCTACCTTTGATGGTAAATTGCCACACTGGCTTCTTACCCTCTCAGGGTCTAGAGTATGGAAGGGCAGAAAGATAATTTTGGAAACTGAGCTAAGCGATAAATAATAACAGAGTAGAGAAAGGATAATGTTATGGCAGCATAAGGGAGGGAATTTAATACAGATGTTAGGGGTAAAAAAGCGCTCTCCCCAAAGTACGGTGTTTAGGTCTCCATAAGGTCTTACAGCAATGAGTAGTGTCTACTCATCCCTTTTGAAATCTTCAGATCTGCCGGAGCCAGTGGGGAGTGGCAGTAAGACGTCGAGCACACACAGTTTTAAGTGCCAGCTCATTACACGGTAGCTGTATAAAATTAGAGAGATTACCCAGCTCTGAGCTTAACTTCCTCATCTGTACAGACAGGGAATAACAATACCTCGGTCATGAGGGCCATTCTGAAGATTAATAAACTAATATATTTTTAATTTAATTAATTTAATTTAAACTAATATATTTTAGATAATAAAACACAAAAAGCACATAGGAGAAAATAAGGACATTTAGGGTCCCCACCACGGGAGGTATAGTCAGGCTGATTAGTGAAGAACAGATAGATTTACACAGAGGCGAAGGAATATCGAAGGGATAGAAAACACTCTAAGGGAGGCTGAAATAGATGTAGAACACTTTTCAAAAGACTGATTAAATATAGAAAGGGAAGAACTCACAGTGTATTCCCGAATCTCCCCGGGGCTCTCTGGTTGGCTTGCTGTTCTCTTTCATACACCTCTCTCTACACCTTTTTCAACCAGCACCTCTAGGCTTTGTCCTCTCAAATCTATCTGTGCCTGCTCTAGGCTTCCCACGGAGTTCAGATTAGTCCGTTTCACCATTTGAAGACCCACTGAATTGAGCCCATAGGCTATAAAGTCTATTACCGCTGCTCCCCCACTGGCCCGCCACTCAACATATTAAAAATGGAATTAATTCCCCTCTCGGAACCTTCTTGAATATTTCCTATTAGTTCCAGCGCACCATCCACCCAATCATCCAAAGCAGAAGCTCCAGAATTAAATGTGGGCTTGTTCTTTCTTTTAGCCCCAGTCACTAATGTGACTGCCAGCAGTCCTCCAGTCCTAATCTCTTCTACCGTTTCATTCCATAGGTTAGGACGTTGTCAAGTCACGGCAGCCTCCTCAGCCCAAGTGTGCTTGGAGGCTGGGCTGTGACGACAGCCCATCAGAGGTGGTGAAAATTGCAGAATTTCGGGTCTTACCCCACAGCTACCAAACCAGAATCTGCATGATAACGAGGGGCTGTTGAGGCTTATAATAAGAAATTTATATTTGGCCCTCCTTCTATTTCTGGCACAAAGCTCCCCAGATGCTTGAAATTTCCTAAAAGTGTCTTTTGTTAGGTTAACGAGGTGACTTTTGGAAAGCATCTGAGGATGGGGGCTGGTGGCCAGGGCAACCAACCAGGTAATAAGGGATGGAAAACCTTCAGTCCCACCCACCCACCTCTGGGGAGGGGAATGGGGCTGGAGATTGAGTCCAATCGTGCCTCTGGAATGAAGCTTCCATCAAACCCCCAAAGGACAGAGTTTGGAGAGTTTCCTGGTTGGTGAACACACAGAGAGTTGGGGACAACAGATTGCTAGGGGGACACAGAAGCTCGGAGTCTTCTCCCCAGGCCTTGCCCTTTGCACTCTTCCATCTTGCTGTTCCTGAGTTGGATCCTTTTATAACCAAGTAAATGTTTCTCTGGGTTCTGCGGGTCACTCCAACAAATTCATCAATCTGTAGCTGGTTGGTCAGAAGCACAGGTGGCCACCTGGACTTGCCCCTGATGGTTGAAGTGGAAGGATGTCTTGTACGATGGAGGCCTTGACCTCTGGGATCTGAGGCTCTCTCCACACGGTAGCAGAATTGAGTTCATTGCTCAACGGTGTCTAGGCGACCAACTTGTCCCAGTTTGCCAAGGGCTGTCTCCATTGTGGCACTGAAAATTCTGCATTCCAGGAAATCCCTCAGTCCTGGGAAATCCTCAAATTCATGTATACCCTTCGCTCCCTCAGATATTTACACACTTACCACATGCCCATGTTTCCTAAGTAATGCACAGAATTATTTTATGTGTTTAACTTCACACAAATAGTATGTTTTGCACAGTCTATTTCTGTTAGCTCTTTTTCACATAGCATTACCAGTTTTGAGATTTATTATAGTGATGCATTAACATGCACAGATTTTTTTTTAAGCTTATTTATTTATTTTTTAGAGAGACTGAGACAGCATGAGCGGGGGAGAGGCAGAGAGAGAGAGAGGGAGACACAGGGAATGCCAAGAAGGCTCCGTGCTGCCAGCACAGGGCCCCACCCAGGGCTTGAACTCACAAAACCATGAGATCGTAACCTGAGCCGAAACCAAGAGTCAGACGCTTAACCGAATGAGCCACCCAGGTGCCCCAACATGCACGGATCCACTGTAATTTCTGTATCCCGTTCCATTGTATGAATGTAGTCGATCTATTTTCTTCTGATGGAAATTGAGGTTGCTCCCAATGTTTTGCTAGTTTAACACGTCTGCCAGTATTATAAATCTTGTTGCATATTTGGGAAATTTGTAGGGAATATACGTGGAAGAGGAATCGCTAACCTCCAAAGTATGCCCACGTTCATCTTTACTGTACTTGGTCTAATTGCTCCCCAAGTGCTGATAACAGGTGACGTTCTTTCCCTAGCAATGTGAGCTCCGTTCACCTTGGCTCATGCGGCTCACTGAACAGCGGCTCATGTCACACTGAACAGCACTGCCAGCCTGAGGGGTGTGAGATGGTATTTCATTTCCCAGCTTTGGCTCACTGGGTAGAGCATCTCCTATACACTTATTGCCCTTCCACTTCTCTGCTCTCTTATTTTTTTTGTGCACGCACATTGGTCATGTGGATTAAAGGTCAAGATTAAGAGATACAAACTGCCTGTCACAAAATAAAGAAGTCATGGGGATGAAAATCTTTTTTAAAAAGTATACAGTTGGGGCGCCTGGGTGGCGCAGTCGGTTAAGCGTCCGACTTCAGCCAGGTCACGATCTCGCGGTCCGTGAGTTCGAGCCCCGCGTCAGGCTCTGGGCTGATGGCTCGGAGCCTGGAGCCTGTTTCCGATTCTGTGTCTTCCTCTCTCTCTGCCCCTCCCCTGTTCATGCTCTGTCTCTCTCTGTCCCAAAAATAAATAAACGTTGAAAAAAAAATTTAATTAAAAAAAAAAAGTATACAGTTCATTGGTTTTTAGTTTTAGTAGTTGTGCTGGTGTTTTTACCTTTTATTTGAGAACTCTTTCCTATCCTGAAACCATTATGTCATTCTCTCCCTTTTTTAAAAGCGATAAATGTTTGCTTCATGCATTTATATAATTAATCCAATAGGAACGAATAGACTTCTGGGTGCGGTGTGACGGAGTGAGCGAATTTCATGTTTACCCATATGGATAGCTAATGCACCATTTATTGAATAACCCACCCACCTCCACTGGTCTGTAAGGCCATCTGTTATCTGTCAAAGCCCAATATATATATGAGTCAATTTCTAAGTTCTATATTCTATTGGTTTACCTGTAAACCAATATCACACAATTTATTTACTATAACTTTATAATAAATCTTGATGTCTCCAAGGCATGTCTTCTCACTTTGTTCTTCTTCATATCTTTTTTCTTACACCCTTTGCTATCCCATGAAAACGTTACACTCAGTCTATCAAACTCATCAACAACAAAAAGAATGGTCTTGTGGGTTGTGATTAGAATTCCACTGAATTTACATACAGTTCAGGAAGAACTGACATATGCCAATATTGATATCCTTACAACATTCACATCTAAAATTTGATAGATCTTTTCATTTCTGTAGCTCTTTCTTCTCTCAAAATTTTTATATATTTATATTACTCCATAAATGCCATGCATATACTATTACTGGATCTCTGACTAGGTATCTTATCATTTTTGATGTTATAAACGAGGTTTGGGTACACACATACATATTACATTGTCTGAATGTTGCTGATATAGAGGGATGAACTAATTTTTGTACGCTGAGCTTATATACGGCAATCTTGGTGAATTCTCATTCATTTTTATAGTCTGAAGAGTACAGGCAATCATAGCATTAATAAATAACAACTTAGCTCCCCCCTATCCAATTCTTATCACCTCTTTTTAACTTGTCTTGTTAGTTACACTGACCAGGATGCTGAATAGAAGCCCTACATGCCAGCTTGCCTTACAGATGGCTTTAAAGGGAAAGGTTATATATAATATTGTACCACTAAGTCTGGGGTTTGACATAGGGTTTTTTTGTTTTTTGGAGATTTTTCTTTTTTGAGATATTTATAAGATGAAGAGACTTTCCTCTGTATTCTTAGTTTGCTAAATCTTTTCTTTTAACTCCAAGTAAGCGATGCATTTTATCAATTGCTTTTCTTTTCGAGGTTAATCTTAGAATTACTCTCCTTCAAGAAGCTTTCCTAGAACCCTCAAACTGGACTAAAAGCTTCTCTTCCCTAATTCCACTGCATTTTGCACTTTCCCCAGTAGATTACACTATCTCTTTATAGGTCTATGCTCCCCAGTAGCTTATAAATAATTCAAGGACAAGAACCATGTTTGGTTCAAGGCTCTATCCCCCAGAACCTGGTGTACAACATAGAATCTCTGTCTACATATTTATAGATACAAATTCCTGAGAACATGTTCTAGAAACTTCACCCATTTCTTTCTAAACACAAATTATGTTTCTGACATTGAAGCTTAATTTACAGAGGCAGTTACGATGAAATAGAATGTAAGATTTGACAGAGAAGAGTTTTAGATTTCTAGATGTTTATTGTATAAACATCTTTATAAAATAACCCATAAAATAGAAATATCTTCTGAGACACACTGACGTTATTCTTAATCAAACAAAATTTGTTACTACGTTTGAAGCCAAATTCATATTTGTTTTAACATTATATTAATTATTTATCTTTGTGTCATACTAAAGGTAAGACCCTCCCCCCTCACCCCACCAACTTTGGTTTGCTCAGTAAGTGCCTTTCAGAGTTGTTTTTCTCATATCTAAGTACTAAGAATATTTTATTTTAATTACTTTAAATGATGTTCCCAATACCAAAGGGCCTTTCAAAATACATTATGTCCCAGTCAGTATTTGAAGAGCCCCACGTGTTTTATTCAGAACGTTCAGCTACTAAATGAGCATACGCTTCAAATGCCATTTGAAAATATGAAACCTTTATCTTTTAGCTCGGTTTTGCTTTCATGCGTAACATGGTTCTAAAATCACAGTGGTGATATTTATTAGCTGTCTTTGCAAAACTGTGGGCAATACATCTTTCACATTTCATTGAGGAGAAAAGAAACTTAATCCCACCAGGATCTCCATTATTAGTTCTTCCTCTTGATTTTTTTCCCCACGGGGATTTTGTGTTGGCCAGATGGTGCTCTGAGGAATCCCTCGACAGAGCTATATTTTACAGAGGCATACTGGAAAAGCAAATATCTATTTCTGAATAAAAGGATTAAATCTTATATCTTGTTATCGGGCTCACTAAGTCCATCCTAGGTATTACTGGGCTCCTATTCGACACCAGACAATACTTTTTTTTACTCACATCGCAGTTTCCCTTCACGTCCAGTAAAGTTTTTACTTTATTCCATTACTGACAGTAATTAGCCACTCAAGTGCACCCTCTATCCCCTTGAATTCTTCCAATGCTAAAGAGTACTCTACAAACCACGTCTTTATGCTGGATCCTCTCCCTCAGGCATGTCAATTGAACTTCATCAGCAGCAAAAAAATTGAAATATCCCTTTCTATATTCATCACAGATATTTATTTTTCACGGGGAAGAGTGGCTAAATGAAATGTTTGAGAATCATTTTGATGAGAAATTGTTTACTTCTTGAGTTGACCCAATTCTCATTTTCAAGCACAGTGAGGCTTTTAATCTTCAGGTAATTACCCTCATGATGACAAAATGTCTCAAAAAGGGAGAAATAATTCCAAGGTCACGTATCCTGTCATAAGTTGTTCTAAATAGCGCAACATCTCAAAGTGCTTATTCCAAATCCTTTCTTTATGGCATAAATAAGATAATGTCCATTTGGTACCCTTCTCACCCATGTCCTTTGTCATAGTAGTACCTAAGAGTATGTCATTTCTATATAAAACCAGCTATCTTAATCAAGAAAAATAATACATTATTTTGTTTCAGTTTTGTTAAGCATGACCACTAAAAGTATGTGAACGTAAGGACCTATCTTTTGTCTTCCCTACTTATTCGTATGTTATATTTAAAGTTTAACCTTCCTTCTACAGCAACATTGAATAACATGGGTTCTCAAACTGACCAGTTCCATTCTTATATCTTTGCCTTTGCAAGTGACAGTCTCTCTCTGGAATGTACCTCCCTTTCTTGGCTGTCCATTTATATAAATATCTTTCAATACTCTGATCCAATTTCATGTTTATGAGACTTTCCCTAAACATTTCTTTCCAGACACATATGCACAAAGACTTGGCTGTTTTCTCTCTTCCTGGCCCTCCAATAACACTTGATAGATTAATTCACTGAATCAGAATTAAATGTTCTGCACTTTCTTCTCTTATGACATTGTGAGATCCTAGAGGTCAAGGTATATCGTTTATTCATCCTTGGATCCCAGAACCTAGCTCAGTACTGCTAAAGTAATTAATGAGCCCTCAATATGTATTTGTAAATAACAGATTACATAGTATATGCTGACTTCTGTGAAAACATTCTTAAATTCTGGAAAATGGGACTATTTTTCTATATTGAACTTAGTATGTGTGACCGTAATGACCAAAAATAAATATGCTATTTAAAATAGACTTATTGTGGTGATCATTTTGCAATATGTACAAATATTGAATCAATATGTTGCACACCTGAAACTAACATAATGTTATATGCCGACTATACTCCAATTAAAAAGTAGATATGCCATTTTAAAAGTTGAATTTTTAAAATTTTTCAGGAGACACATGTAAAATTAAAAATTCCTGACTGAAGGGGTGCCTGGGTGGCTCAGTCAGTTAAGCGTCCAACTCTTGATTTCAGCTCAGGTCACGATCTCATAGTTTGTGAGTTCAAGCCCCGTGTCAGGCTCTGTGCTGACAGTGTGGACCTTGTTTGGAATTTTCTTTGCTTCCACCCCACCCATGTTCTCCCTCTCTCCCTCTCTCTGAAAATAAACAAATAAACTTTAAAAAATTCCTAACTGAAAAAAGAAAAAAAATGTGGGGATGTAGAATCTAAATTTATTTGTCAAAATTAACTCATATTTAGAATGTAAAATGTCTAAAAACAAGGGACCTGAGTAATGTAAGGCTTTTCAACGAAAAGGTAAATTTAGCTCTTGGGATCTCTTTACAAATGAACCTTAGTGGTTCATTTGTAAAACAGAAAAGGGAGTTGAAGGAAACAGAGTTAGGGATAAACGCCTCTCTCTGATTATTTTAGAGGGGCCTCAGCGATGAGTATTGACTGCACATTACCTTACCGATTTGTGAACGGTTTAGAATGACCCAGATTGTACTCTGCACTCTTTTTAGTTCATTTTAAGCTGAGCCAAGATATCTTCTGTTTTGAAAACATACAAAAATAGAAAGCAAATTATAACCAATTTATAAAATTAGCCATTTAGGATACATTACATCCCATTGTGTTTACAGCTTTCTTCCTTATTACTTTTCTAATAAGGACAAAGATTTAACTTTCCGTTAAGATGATTAAGATGATTTTAGCAAGAATGTGCCTGGATACTTGGAAGAGAGGAAGGTAGTTTATGTGTTCCAAAATAGCAATATTTGAAAACATGTGCATGAAAGAACTTTTGTAAGCATTCTTGGAATGATTTTGTCTCTATCTCCTTTCCCCCCACAACTTAAAAAAAAAAAAGCTTTGGGTGGAGTTAAGAACTCTTTTCAAATCTTAAACAATTACTGGAAATCCTGAAAATGTATTCTCCTTTATTCAGTGGGGGAAAACACTTTAAAGCTTCTCTTTATTTTTTCTCCTGAGAATTGTTTACCAAAGGATTTACTTAATGGCTTCTATTTTGAACACAGAATTCAGTTATAACCGCCTGAAATATAACGCCATCTGTGTTTATTCTCCCCCCAACTCAAAACACAATTCTTCTCTTCAAATATAACCAGTCCATGGCCCTAATAACCCAGACAAATAGATCAATTCCACTCTTTACTTTAACCAAGGGTAAAATTAAAGAGTTACAACGCATACCATAAAAATGTAAATCTGAATGCCAATATAAAACATACAAAGCACATCTGTAAATTTAAATTTTTAAAGTTCTGATTTTAGTAATTTTTTCTTCTCTCTCTATTCCCCAGGGTGCAGTTAGCTGTGAGGTGACAAATAAGGACACAACGCACACAGTAATGGATATTAGTGGATGGGACCAGGAGCCAGGGGACCAGAGAATCACGGAATCACTCTGAAGCTTGTTTCCTCAAATCTATACCACCTTTTGAGCCCACCTGCACCTCTCCCTGAAACACCAACAGCTGGCATGTGGAATCCACTGGAAAATGAAATTGGAATTTAGTAATTATGTATTTTAAATTATTTTAAATTGCAATTTTTTTTTAATGTTTATTTCCCAGAGAGAGAGAAAGACGGAGCGTGAACGGGGGAGGGCAGAGAGACAGAGGGAGACACAGAATCCGAAGCAGGCTCCAGGCTCTGACCTGTCAGCATAAAGCCCGACACGGGGCTCGAACTCACAAACTGAACTCATGACCTGAGTTGGATGCACAACTGACAGAGCCACCCAGGCGCCCCTATTTTAAAGTACTTCAAGAGTGAGAAGTGACATACAAATGTGAAACATCCTTATATATTTATATTGAGCGTATTTTGAGCTGATTAATCCCGTAAATATCATTCTGACTGATCTCTAATGTAAGAAGGAGACTTAAACCCTTTTTCAGCAAGACTTCCGGGAGAAAATGTCAAACATTTTATTTAGAGTTTATTTTGCATTTCAAGAATGTTTAAATTCCATTCATCAATCCTTATTACAGCCTGACAATTCTTAGAGCCATGGTAGACTTCAAGAGTATCCTGAAGTATGATTATTTTTGGCCTTATTCAGACAGTTATGATCTCCACTATCAGCCCCAACTTTGATTTTAGAAAGTGTATGTGATTTTAGAAAGTGACAGCTCTTCTGTCCTCAGGGAATGGAGAATGAGTTATCGTGATATTCACTTGAAAAATAAAAACTAAGGTGCTAGTCTAAAAGACTATATCCTGGCTGTTATTTGAAAGCCACGTGTGATTTTTGACTCCGAAAAGTCTTACGTTCCTAATTTTCTAATTTCTTGACTTTAAGATCCATGTAGAAGAACAAAGAATTGCAAACCCTTCAGACATACAACCCTGAAGGCCGTTCCAGCTTCTCCATGTCCCTTTGCCCAGGGCATCTCCAAAATAAATTTTCAATTTGTTATGGAGGAATGTTAAACACAGTCTATGCGTGTTTGTTTCACTTGTGTTTGTACTTGGTTACCACCGTATAGGGCTGATGCTTAGACTTTCTTGGGCTCTAAGCTTATTTCCTGAAGTTGTTCAACATACATTATGTAGAAAATGACATTTCGTATCTTAACTGTTTTTATTCATAATGTCTCTCATCTACTGAATGAGATAGACAAATACATGGCAAAATACACTAGCCATAATTAAATGACAAATTCTAACTTACAAATCCTTCAACAAAGCAGACAAAACCATATAATTGACAATGTTAAAAAATGATCAGTAAATGCATGTGGTCGACTAAAAACATTGTTATTATAGAACACAAATTAAGCGTAAAAGAATACTTCTTAACCCTCTTCTAATAAAAGCAGCTTATGTTGCATATCACTTTGCATATTTTGTTAGATAATATGACACTGTAGATAGTGATGAGTGTTTAATATCTCCAGGGAAGGCTTTATGTCAATAACCACTCTTTGGGCACCCGTGTGGCTCAGTCAGTTGAGCGTCCCACCCTTGATTTCAGATCAGGTCACATCTAGTGTTTCATGTGATCAAGTGTTTCATGTGGTCTCAGCTCAGGTCACACGTAGCATTTCATGTGACAGTGTGGAGCCTGCTTGGGGCTCCCCCCCACCGCCCCGCTCCGCTCACCATCTCAAAATAAATAAATAAACTTAAAAAAATAACCCCTTTAAAATTTCTTGCCCCTACCTCTATACCTTGGTACTTTGTGAACACGTAACTGAGGAATGGAAAGAGCATCAGTATTGCCGAACTTGACCAGTACTCACGAGAGGATATTCCCAATATAGGCGTAGTAGGAACAACAGTAGGGCGTGGCCCCATCGCAGCAGTAAGATCTGCAGTCTTTGCCACACTGAGCAAGGCAATCCTCTGCAAAAGAAACACCACACACGTCCTTTACAGTTCTGAAATCACAGCTTCATGAAAAATATTCTATTTTATGTCTCCATCGGTCAGCGACCACACTTCGGTGCATTTAGATATTCGTTTTGCATACTCAGAATTCTAAAACATGAATAAGCATCTAAACTAGTCTTCCTTCCCTATTGGACGTAAATCCAGAAGAGGCAAAGACCATTCTGTTTTGAATTTCCTTCATCCAACACCATAACTGGTAGTTGGAAGTGCTGAACGGGACAACGAAAGGAGAAATGAATGATCCAACAGATCAGCCATTCAATTTTGCAACAGAATTCTTATAACAATTTCAAAATGATAAAGTCTTTTGACTTGAGGGTCACATTAAGGTCATTTGATGGCATGTGTTATTGATGTGTATACTGTCAACTGGAGATACTTTTTAGATAATGTATATTTTTATGACAATGCATTATATGTTACTCTTTCTGTACATTTTGTTTTACCCTCTTAATGACAGTTTGCACACATATGGTAACACAACTGAGTCTGCATATCCTGTCAATTCATCTGGATTGGAAGACAATGGGTTAGTTGTAGGAAGGCATTTCCGTAGATAACTATCTTGTGAATAATTAACAATTTATTTAATGTTGGATTTAAGAATCAACAAGTTATGAAACAGCACTACGGGAAGGGAAAAAGGTGCTTTCTGAGTAGAAAGGACATGTTGGAGCTGATAAAGCCAAATCACTGTCTTTTTTCTTCCATATGTTTTCGGCAAGGAAAATTAGACCCCACATTTGAATAAAAATTGCCCTGGCTTTTAAAAATTCTTCGTGCCACCTAAATGATTTACGTTTAACAAGTTCAGATGATTATTTAATTACGATCACTGGTATAAATTATCATGGATATGTGAGTTTGAGGTACATGATTAGAAACTCACTAAATATAGTCTGGTAATTTAAGTTACATGTTCAAGAATCACAAAGGAAGTCCTTTCCAACTCAATCCCTAGAGGTAATATCAACTATTATCTAAATTATGTAACACTTTTGCTTGTCTGTCAAACCATAACCGAAAAGTACAAGATGTTACATTATGTCTGTGTGTCCAGGTGATTGATTTATCCAGAAAGAAAAATTTAGATTTAAAAAAATATTAATGTGTATTTATTTTTGACAGAGAGAGAGAGAGAGGACAAGGTGGGAGGGGCAAAGAGAGAGGGAGACACAGAATCTGAAGCAGGCTCGAGGCTCTGAGCTGTCAGCACAGAGCCCGACACGAGGCTTGAACCCACAAGATGTGAGATCATGACCTGAGCCGAAGTTGGACGCTGAACTGACTGAGCCACCCAGGCGCCCCTAGATTTTGTTTTTAAATCACCTCCCTGACAGGATGATTCTTGACAAATGAATGTCATCACAAAGTAGCAAAGTTCATTGATCTTTTTCAATAATGCATGGCCTTTGCAGAACACGTGAAAACGTTCACCTTTTTTCCCCCTCCATTTTACTTCTACCCCATAAATTAATAAACCTTAATGTTTTCTTCTGAGATGAGGTAAGAAGAAAGAAGAGGAAGAAATAATTACTTTGTAAGATTCAGTAACTCTACTGAAAACCACTGCTAAATTTTGAAGACAAGAAGCACAATCTAATGACCTACTGACAGGGTATGCTCTTTGCAGAGTGCATCACACTTTTTAAGGCTATTTATCTTCTCATTTTTCCCTATGAACTTCTATAGCCCTCATTTTTAGTGCTGTTTAGTTAATTCAAACATTTAGATTAGTTAGTTGTCTCAAGAGGCTTAACCGGGATGTTTTGCTGCATGTTCTCTAAAGCCATTCGGAAAGTGGAAGAGCCGATGTCCCCATTTTTTCTGTGTGAGCAGGACAACCCATATGTAAGTAGCTTCATGGGGTGCCTTCGGAATGATGCCCTTGATAGTGACGTCTTATTAAACTCTCCATGAATATCAAAGGTTCAATTACTATTATTGTATTCCAGTTACTACTATTATAAGGACGTGGTGTTATCAAAATATTTTGAACCAATGTTACAGGAAACCAACATCTTGTAGCCAAGGAGCTGGATTATACCTGCAGCAAACATCAGGATCGTGTCACAAGTTGTTCCTTATTTTGATGGCATTTTCTAGCACTCCTGTCTACTTCCCAGAATTAAACAACTGACAAGGGCAGATGTAAGAGTATGGCAAACAGATTCACAATCACAACACTCTCAAACTGAGGTTTTGACCACACGTCAAATCTTCTATGTTAGTTGCTCTCTTCAGTTTAGTGGAGAGCAATTCTGTGAAAATCGGATTTGGAAGGCACCGGAGCATTTTCTCACTTGTAAGGAATGGAACATTCCAATTGTTTCAGAAGATAATTGATATTACCTCTAATATTCGAGTGAATAGTCTTGAAAAGTAGCCAGTTCAAACTTTCTTCAGTGACTTGAATCAAAGGCATGATGTGGAAGAAGGTTCTCCAACCCTCACCCCCACCTCAAGGAATTCGTGGCACAGGAAAAGCGACATCTGGTTGCAAAGCACATGCTCAGAAATGGCTCTTGTAAGCTACAGCTGAGGATAAGGGAGGAAGGAAAGGGAGGGGACAGCAGTCACTGGCTGAGGCTGGGAAGGTAAAACCTTGGCCAAATCCTGTCTTTGTTGCCAGCGGTGGGAGTTGGATAACAGCATAAATGTCATCGGGTCTCTTTCCGAAGGTGGTTCCAACAGCAAAACGTGATGCTTTAGGCACAGAAACTTCGCCCCTACCTCCTTGTCAAAGGGAGCATGAATTTAGTGCATCTGCTTTGGGGGAAAATAATTCAGGTTATAGGCCGTGCATCTACATAGGTTTTTGTCCCATTAAAGCTGGAAATTTAAGTAGATTTTTTTTTCAACGTTTATTTATTTTTGGGACAGAGAGAGACAGAGCATGAACGGGGGAGGGGCAGAGAGAGAGGGAGACACAGAATCAGAAACAGGCTCCAGGCTCTGAGCCATCAGCCCATAGCCCGACGCGGGGCTTGAACTCGCGAACCGCGAGATCGTGACCTGGCTGAAGTCGGACGCTTAACCGACTGCGCCACCCAGGCGCCCCAGAGCTGGAAATTTATTTAACAGGGTGTCTCAACTGTTAGATCGGCATTGTTTCCTCATCATCCCCCAGTCCTCACTTCCAGCCACATGTCTTAGTTCCAACCAAAACGAATTCTGTATCATTACAAATATATATCTCACGGTTTTTGCCTTTGTTCACATTATATCCTCCTCCATTTCCTTATGTCCAAGGCTTCCCTCTCTAGTCCCTAAATTCCTCCTTAAGTTCAATTTCTCTGAGCAATTACTTATTGGGTTCTTCTTATGGGCCAGGTATTTTGCCGGTCTCTGAATATCATGTTGAACAAAACAGACATCATCTTCCTGGAGCTTACTCTCCTAAGCCAGCCATGAGGTTCCCTCCTGTGAAGAGTCCTGGCACATGACTGTAATTCGCCTATGACACAGCCTTGTATACATCATAATAGGCCTCCTTTATCTCCCAGATGAAACTCAGAGCAAGGCCTCCGTCCTATATAACACTCAAAATGCCTCACTCAGTGAATATTGGGTAAATAAATAAGGCAAACATAAAGGGATTTCTGAAGCAAAGAGTTCGGGAGTTAACACCAAAGAACACACTGGCTAAATATTTCTTATCAAAGATAGTAAGTTAATTTAGTATTATTGGCTTGTAGTTATTCTGTAGCTTTTGAGGGGGGTATGCCTAAGAAGAGAAGAAATGAAGGCAGAGAAACTTTCTAAACTAACCAAACTTGTTGCCAGAAGGCTTTGCAGATTTCCTGAACCCTGGGGATTGTTCACCAAGCACAGGGTGGGGTGGGGGTGGAGGTGGGGTGGGGGTGGGGTGGGGGAACAGGACGAAAGGAAGGAAAAGCGTGTGCATTAGAAGCTTTCAGTTTACCACAGGGAATAAAATAGACAAGAGTAAGTTGTTGTTCAACGGTGTGCTTGAGTAAAGATGAGTGAGGTTTTGTTCTATTTTCTTATTTTTACTTTTGTTTTTGGATAAACAGAGGAGGTGAAAAGAATCATTGCTTCAAATGAACGAATGGGAAGATTTTACTATAAAGCCAATAACGCAATTGTTTCTTTTAGCTTCGCAAATTCTGGAATACACTTTAAGGTACAGAAATACGCAAACGGATTAGAATGCAGCTTCTCCTCATTAAGTAGGAAGTTCTTTTCCTACTTTGATGAATTTTTGCATTTGAAAGTCAGAATTTTCCTTGCAATAAAATATCTTTTAAATAACTTAAAAACAGCCACTAATTCACATTTTAGTGTATAAATTGGAAATTTCTATAGAAGTTTGGGGAGTCATTTCTGTCAAGGTTGAATGAGAAGTTCAATTCTCTTGACGTTCACGTTCAATAATGTTGAAGAACCTCTTCATGTCAGTCGCAATCTTCGTTAAGTATCAAGAAATAAATCACAGTGCTACATAAATTTACTATTGCAAGGTCACAGGTAAGCCTGTGGTTTTTTTTTTTTTTTTTTTTCCTAGGAAGCGAGAGACATGAAAACATTTTACAAAGAACTTTGCTTTCAGCTTCTTTTGTGAATAGGAAGCAAATGCAAAACCACATGTGTAATTAACTTTATACATGAATAACCAGTGAAAAGCCATTTTGAGTTCCGTATCAATCATGAAACAAGAAAACCGCTTTGCTCCATCAATTATTAGCAATTCTCAGGAAGAATAATTAGGAGGAGGGAAATGAAATTCCTTTCACCTATAAACAGTGCTTCACGAAATCGATGAAAACAGGATTAGACTGGGTGAATTTACGCCTCCCGAAAACCTCCTATTTGAACTCAAAGCATCCAATTATCCAGACTACCACACTTGAGAATCATCTTCTAAAGTGAAAAAAACAAAACAAAAAACCCGATGGTCTAAGGCTTTATATTTCGAAATACTCAGAATGTGGGGGTAGCAAGGAGAGGAGATAGACTACCTTGAAATGGAAAAGTCACCACATTAGTTCATGTTAAAACTTCAGCAAATACCTCTGAATCTCGGGTACTTTAAAAAAAAAATGCTTTTCTCCCACCCTTCAGTCTCTGCCCTCAACCCCCAGATTCCTGAGTCGTGGACAGAATCAATGGAACGCTATCCAGAGAGTGAAATCCTCTAAATGTGCGTTTGGGGTTTTTAAATTGGACTGGGAGTTTTAAATTGCTTGCAGAGAGAGAAGGGAGGAGGAAAGGGGAAAGGGAAAGTTAAAGAAAAGGAGCAAAACAAAACAAAACCTCGGGGGAGGTCGAGCCGAGGGTCGCAGCACGCCGGCTTCCCTGGCTGCCCGGCGGGGACCACCCCGTCTGGGCTCTCCCACCAAGGTCCCCGTGCCTCCCGCCGAACCCGCGTGGCCAGAGGGCGACCCGAGCTCAGTCCCAAGTCTCGTTCCCCTCTCCCGCCGCCCCAGGCCACTGACCTGCGTAGACAAAGAGCAGGACCAGCTTCGGAAGCAAGATTCCTGGACCCCCGGGCAGCCTCAGCGCGTCCATCCAAGCCGGTGGCCGGAGGTTGCGCGCCAGGACAGACGGACAGACGCACAGACTGGAGAGAGGGCTGATGGGGCGGGGAGAAGGGAGAGCCCGGGCCGCGGAGGAGCCGGAGCGCGGTCAGAGGGAGAGGGCAGCGCTCCCGAGAGGGGGGTCGCGCGGGGACCGGGCCATTGCCCTGAGCGTCTTCGAGGGGAACCCGGCCGTGGCGCGCGGGGCTGCGCTGGGGCCGAGGTCTCTTTGTCTCTGCCCGCGGAGCTCAGGCGGCAGGCGAGGCAGCCGCTCCGGCGGCGTCCTGGGCCACCCGGGCTCACATTTCATCTCCGCGGGTGGCACCGACGTGGGGCTGGGGGCGGGGGTGGCCCCGACTCCTCCCCACCCTCGGGTTCTTCCTTCTGTGGCTTGAGTCCTGGAGCAAGAGGGAACTTCTTCCAGCCCAGTGCTCTGGCAGTTGCTCTTTTGAATTCCAGCCCTGCGCTCCAATTTTTCCTTTGGAGGCAATAGGAGAAGAAGAATCTAACTTTTCACCTTTCAACAAAGGTAGGGCAGTTGCAGGGTTGAAGGTTCTGGACAAAGGAAGCCACTAAAGAAAGCCCAGAAGAATTGGAAAGTCAGAGGCCGTGTGTAGCTTCTCTGCTGAGAGCTGATAAAATGTTTATTTGTTAAACACCTAAAGCATCGTTGGCAAAGTGGAAAACACAACAAGAATGTAAACTGTCATCGCTATTAGTTGATGCTGTTCTGGAGTTACTGGCCTATGCAATTAGGCAAGAGAAAGAAAAAAGTTATAAAAATTGGAAGCAAAAATTACCACTGGCAAATGATATGCTTGTATATGTGGAAAATCAGACAGAATCAACTATACAGCTCTTAGAGTTACAGAGACTCAATCATTTTCTTTCATGCAAATTAGAATCGATTAGAAAGTTCTGTTTTAGGCATGAAAGAAAAAAAAAAGCATGAGTAAGTGAATAAAGATAATTCTCTTTATTTATTAAAGAAATTCAAAAGAGTGATGAATGGGATAAGCCTCAACAGAAAATAACCATATTATAACATCACAATGATTGAAACAGTTTTCATTAACACTAGAATAGATAGGCTTAATGGAACAGACTGGAGAATCCAAAAATGGAGATACATATGCATAGAAATTAAATTTATAGTTTTAAAAAAGATACTTTTAAAGCAGAAGAGGAAATGATGGGTTACCCAGTGAATAGTGCTGGGGCCTTAAGTAAGCATCTGTGGATTCTTATCTCCTTTCATCAAAACAGTAGCATACGAATCAAGTATTTAAACTTGAAGATGCAATTATAAAAATATTGGATAAAAAGTGGAAAGATGACATGTAAATAATTATGGAAAGCTTTTCTAAGTGTTATATGATCTCAGAAGTCATAAAAGAAACAAATTGACCAATTTGACTCCATAAGAAATAAAACTGTCTGTATAGGACAAGCCACACATTTAACTGGGAAAAATATTTATGATGCATAGGATAGGTAAAGTCCTGATCTCCTTAATATGTAAGGAACTTCAAAATCAATAAGGAAGGGGCACCTGGGTGGCTCAGTCGGTTAAATGTCCGACTTCGGCTCAGGTCATGATCTTGCAGTTTGTGAGTTCAAGCCCCGCGTCAGGCTCTGTGCTAACAGCTCAGAGCCCAGAGCCTGCTTTGGATTCTGTGTCTCCCCCTCTCTCTCTGCCCCTCCCGTGCTCATGCTCTGTCTCTCTGTCTCTCAATAATGAATAAACATTAAAAAATTTAAAAAAATCAATAAGGAAAAGAAAACCAATAGAAAACTGAGCAGGAATATTAATAGATTGATCTACCTATCTATCTATCTAGGTCTTCTAGTCTTCTAAACATCCTAACTCCCCAAAAAGAAATGAAAGTGAAAACCAAAATGACAGTGAGACATCATTCTTTCATATATCAGATCAACCAAATAAATAAATAAATAAAATAAAAAATAAAAACCAACAACCCAACTTTTAAGAACAATGTGGCAATATGTATCAAAATTCAAATACACATTCAGTTGAATGCAGTTTGTCCTCCTCTAGGAGGTTAGTCCTATCAATACGCTGCTGCTTTGGTGTAAGAAGATGGGAGGAAAAACCACCTTCAAAATAAATATAACCGGAGAACCCTAGCAGGCTGTATGCTTCAGTGAAGGCCTAGCCATCCACCTGTCCAATAAGAAGCCCGGTCAATTGCTCCTCTCTCTCAGTTCTAACAGCTGATCTATCACACAGTTTTTCTGATGGTGCACCCAAACAACATTCAAATATATTTGCATTTTGCCTTCTATCTCTGCTCTAAGCTAGGCTCTTAGAGTCTCCATTACAACCAGTCTCCCTGGCTCCAAGGATATTCTCCAGACTAAAACTAGAATATTTCTTCTTAAATTATAGATTTCATCACATTCACTCACTGGTTTAAAACCCAGTGCATTCGTTTTGCTCTTGGGTTAAAATCCAGACATTTAATCCATGGTTTTTGAGAAACTTTATCAGTGGGTTCTGTTGTTCTTAACCTGATCTCAACATTCTGCTGGGGAACACAATTGCTAAGTAGCTGTGAGAATTTGTAAATAACTGGAGGAAGTCTCAGATATATAGGATTTTACGTCCTAAAAAAAGAAGATACGGATGTAAGTGAGTATTTGCAAAGCTGGAGAAGGATATTGAAGGTTTTTGGAATGGAAAGATGCTTTCCTCTGCAGATAAAACTGGATGCAGAACCCTAGGACTGGGGTGGTGGGGACAGGCATCTGGAGACGAAGGGCAGGACTGCTCCCACCCAGTTGTTGCACACAGCTCTGGGACTGGCAGCTTGTTGCCAATGAGGCCAGTGGCAAGTGGAATATGTTGATCGCAGCTTGCTTTTGAGAACAGAGAACCTTCTCCTCATACATGTCAATGGAAAAGGCCAAGCAGGCTTGCCTCCTGGTTTGCCATTGCAAAAGATAGTCCACCTTAAAGTACTCAGGGGCTTTAGGTGCAAAATATGTATGTATATATATGTATGTACATGCCTACACAAATCCATATGAAATGAAAACCCTTAAAGCACAGCATTAGAGGGAAGAAAAGAGTTTCTGGAAATTAAAATAAAACTTGACCTGGAATTTTAAAAATATCACAGAAAAATTACAAAATTGTCACAGATAAAAAAAAACAAAACAACTTAGGCTGTTAGAGGGGATAAGCTCAAGGAGAGGGCATATCTCCTAAGAGAAAAATATGCAAAGAAATACAAACCATGAATAAAAATATAAAAAATGCTACAGCATAGAGAAGAGACCGAATATGAAAATAATATGCAAGCTAGATGCAGTTTTAAAAGAAAAAAAATGAAGAAACAAATATTAAAAAGATTATTGTTTAAAATTCCAAGCTATAATAAAATTTGAATTTTCAAATTTAAAATGGTGAGTGAGTTCCAGGAAACCTTTTTTAAAAAGAGGAATGGATATATACATATCCTAGAGACTATTTGACCTAGCATTAACTTAAAATAATATAAATTTTTCTGTATAATAAAATAAGTTTGCTTAGAAAAAGAATCCGACATCAGACTTCTCATTTGCAACCTTAGAATTTAAAAGAGCAAAAATATTCCTGTACCTTTGAAAGATAAAGACAATAGCCCAAGAATCCTATTTCCAAATCACATTCCATTAACATTTGAGTTTGTTAACATGTTTATAACAGTATTTATAATAACTTTAAAACATGATAAAGAGCTTACATGTCCAGTTAAGTGAATTAGGATACATCCATATAATGGATTAACATCCAGTACTTTAAGATAATGGGGAAAGTCCTTGAGATACATAGTTAAGACGAAAAATGGGAAAGGAAAGTATCCAAGGGAAGTAATCCATGGATAAACATGTTGTGCTGTATATTCATACAGTGAAACACAACTTGGCAGTAAAAACACGTTTGAAGAATATGCAACAGCATGGATGAGTCTCTGGATGAATATGCTGAGCAAAGAAGCCAGACACAAACAAATTACTGTATAATATTGTTTGCATGATATTGTGGAAAAGGCAAAATTGATCTATAATGACAGAAAGCAGATTAATGATTGCCTTGGAATGGGGTAGGAATATAAGTTTTATTGCAGAGTCTCATGAGGGAATGTTTGGGGGTGATGGCAAAGTTCTATATCTTAATAATGGTGGCCATCACCCAGATGCATACATGTGCTAAAGTCATGGAAATGCACATTAACGGTACACTTAAAATATGCATGTTCTGGAGTGTGTAAATTATGCCTCAAGGAAGTTGATTTTTTAACGTTTATTTATTTTTGGGACAGAGAGAGACAGGGCATGAACTGGGGAGGGGCAGAGAGAGAGAGGGAGACACAGAATCGGAAACAGGCTCCAGGCTCTGAGCCATCAGCCCAGAGCCCGACGCGGGGCTCGAACTCAGGGACCGCGAGATCGTGACCTGGCTGAAGTCGGATGCTTAACCGACTGCGCCACCCAGGCGCCCCGGAAGTTGATTTTTTAAAAGCTATTGCTAATACATACATGGGAGATAAGAGTACATACAAATTTGTAAAAATAGCTATTTTTTGACTGCTAGAATTCTAATTAATTGTTATTTAATAACTCCCCCTGAATTTTCACTATAGCTATACATAGCTCATAGCATATAATAAATACTAGCTTTAAAAAGATGGTATCCAGGGGCACCTGGGGGACTCAGTCGGTTAAGTGTCCGACTCTTGGTTACGGCTCAGATCATGATCTCATGAATTCAAGCTCTGTATCGGGCTCTATGCTGACAGTGCAGGGCCTGCTTTGGATTCTCTCTTTCCCGTTCTCTCTGCCCCTCCCCTGCTTGCATGTGAATGTGCTCTCTCTCTCTCTCTCTCTCTCTCTCTCTCTCTCAAAACAAACAAACAAACAAACAAACTTTAAAAAAAGATGGCATCCATCTTTTGCAATATTACATTATTAAACTCATGTCTATGGAGAATAATAATACAGAAAAATGCTCATAGTCTTTCTAAGGAAGAAGCCAAATTGTATTTCCTTTGAGATACTAATTTAGGGAACACATAGATACATACTTCTTTATTCTTGCTCATGGTTTCCATATATCTTACAATAAGCGTGTATTATTTTATAGTGAAAAAAATGGGTTTTTAAATAAAATCTTTTAGTCTGGTCATGTCATTTAGAGTGGATATTTCCTAACAATATGAAAGCTTTTACATACTATCGCATTTTGAAAATTGAACAGTTTTATCTCTGAAGATATTTTAATTCCTGCCATAGTTCTGAAACTTTAAGAACTTTAAAGATGTTCTTTAGTGGGCTTTCTG